GGCAGCGGTGGGTCGGCGGGGCCGGCGCAGCCCCCTCGCTGGCCGGGGGCGCCGTTGCTAACGTTCGCTGCTCTTCCACTTGGAAATGGGCACTCCCGGATGGGCACTTCTGTTGTCAGATCCTTGCAGTCCGAGCAAGGCCTCTCTTGTTATTATTTTAGCTCTGAAAAATATGCTATGAGGCATAGTTCAGGGCAGATAGTAAACGACATGCGTAACTCGGAAAAGACCAAATATCTGAATAAATTAAGAATTCATGTCAGTCTATGTAGAGAAGTTTGCTATTTAAATTTAGCCTAAACTTTCTTCTGAGTCACTGATTAATCTCGACAACCGTTCAGCTGAGTTACACTCACTTGAGAGCTGCTGCTAATTTGGCTGCAAATTGTGTGCTTGGTTAGTTCCCCCTTCTCCTGAGAAATGACTGTATTATCACAGGAGCTATTGTCAGTTGTAGGAGTAAAGGGCCCCTGCATTAATTCCTGTTTCTTAGTCTCGGTTTTCCCATGAGGAGAATATTGTCTGGAGATCTTCATGGACTAAACCCAACGATGCTTGACTGGTTCTTCCCACGTTGGCTTCTTATTAAAGCCTTTAAATGCTTGAGTGCTTCTTTCCTCAGCTGAGGGAAAGCGTGCTGAAGGGACATATCCAGCAGATGCGATGTGGTGGGTTTTTTTCCACCTGCTTAAATAAATGGAAGTGCTTAAATAAAGTAAAAGAGAAAATATCTATCTAATCTGTAACCAGAAAAGTGGGCACTGATAGGCAGAAGTTTAAGGCAAGGCCTGTCTAGAAGATTCCGTGTTAACTGCAGAAAATCAAAATAAGTTAATCAACTAAAAACAAAGCATCCAGTATTAAGTCAAATGTTTTTTCTTCAGGTTAAAACTTGAGGAAACCAAAGAAGTTCAGAGCCTCAGAAAGCGTCCCAATGGGGTGAGGTAAGGGACGCAGCACCAAGGGTGTGAAGTCGTGTTGTCCGACAGTGTAATGTAACAGTAAATTGCTCTCTTGTAATGTGCCTCCTTTCAGTGGAAATCGTTCCATGTCAGAGAGCGCCAAAACCATGCTCTTGGTAGAGGAGTTTCTCCGTGAGAGCCTGAGGATGGAGAAGAGGAGGAGTTTGGTACAGGCGCACAGTGTCAGTTTGCAGGGAGCAAAGTCTGTTCTCTATCGCAGCCATGAAGAGAAAGGCGGAGATTGGGATTTACCAACATTTTTCAACAAATTGGTTTTGTGCTGCGCGCATGGTTTAAATTGGATGCTTTCACGCCTCCTCCATCCTAATTGCCCTCTTCCCTCTCCTCTATGCCATTGATTAACTGATGAGCTAGCTGAAATGTGCACTAGCAATGAACTGTGTTCCTTATTTTGGTGACTCGCTGGAAGGCACTAAAATCTGCCTTAACTTCTCATCTCCCCAAAACACTAATCGTTCCTCTATCCATGCGGAGCGATTAGGAAGACCGACAATTTAGTGTGAATACAGTGTGCCAGACTATGGGCTAGATGTAGAGAAGGATAAAGAAACGCGGTACTGTTGGCAATTCCACTGAATTGTATTTACTTTCTTTATCCGCTTGACTAGCGCTGTAGCTCTGCTTGTGGGAGAGAAGTTGCAAGAAGAAGCAACCCTTGTGGTAAGTGCTAGACACTTCCATCTCCTCAGCGCTAAGATGTAATGTTGTGAAAATACCAGTGCGGTCCAGCCCATCGCTGTGCCAGTCTGGCCTGGGCGAGGGCTGACGTCACAGCTCAATACTTAAAATGTTCTCCGTGTGTTAATCCGGATCTCGAAGACTAGCATTAAAGTCAAGGGAAGCGTCAGGATTTCTCATTATTCCTCATTATTTGTTTTACAGGATGACCCATTTAAGATAAAATCTGGGGGAATGGTGGACATGAAGAAGCTGAAAGAACGAGGCAAGGACAGGTGGGTGCATATGGGCTCTGAAGACCAAACAACCAACAACCCCAAACTCCAAACTGTAAACATTGTGGCTTCCGTTTAGGATTAATGAAGAGGAAGATCTAAACTTGGGAACTTCCTTCTCAGCTGAAACCAACAGGCGGGATGAAGATGCTGACATGTAAGTTGTGCTGCGTTGTGTCTCGGGGGTTGAATTTGGGGTTGGGTGTCCCCTCACAATGTATTTTTTTCTGTCTTGGATACTGAGTACTCCCAGAACTTCTTCCCAGTTCTCCCTGTAACTTCCACTTGCCCTTTCTCCTTCTGGCTGCCACACTAGAGAAGGCTTTTTTGTGGACAAAGCTGGGAGCTGCCAACCAGCTGGCCTGGCATGAAATACCAGTGGGAGCCTTCCCTGCTGGTTGAGAAAGAGCTTGGAGGATCTGGTCATTTCTTGCACAATTGCTTCTTGCAATTGATGTTAGCAGAGTGGTTTTGGAGAGATTATTCGTTCCTCTCTCCTAGCTGTCGGGACAGTGCTGCAGCTGTGCCCAGCAGTGCTGCGACAGAGTACAGAAAACAGAATTTAAGTACTGTGTGTCCCTTGTGTGCTGCTCTTTAGGATGAAGTACATTGAGACTGAGCTGAAGAAGAGAAAGGGAATTGTGGAGAATGAGGAGCAGAAGGTGAAGCTTAAGAATGCTGAGGACTCTCTGTACGAGCTGCCAGAGAACATCCGTGTCTCCTCAGCCAAGAAGACTGAGGAGATGCTGTCCAACCAGATTCTGTTGGTTATGGCCTGAATTGCCCGGAGGAGCAAGTGTTGATTGGCAGAGCAGCGGTATGGCTGGATTAGATGGCCCCAGTTTAGCTCTGTGATGGGATTGCGCCTTGTTCTGGATTGGCACAATATGTAGCACAGCATGTTCTCCACAGTGATAGGGCTCCAGTGCAGCTCCATCGTATGACTTCTGGCAGAAGGCTCTTAACTTTGGTGACTGGAATCTAGCAGGATGCGTTTATGCCCTGCACTGAAAGAGGATGCACTGAAGATGCAAGCTTCCCTCTACCTTTGAAAGAGAGCGTCTGTTTCTATAGCACGGGCTCCTCTCTCAAAAAACACATCATGTAGCATAGCAGTTGTTCTTACTATCCCCCATTTCCACCCCCTTAGCATTTCTATGTCTACTACCGCTTCTAAAAATTAATGAGGGTTTTCTTTTTTTCCTTCCAGTGCAAAAATAAAAAACATCATCTCAACTGAAGAGGCCAAGGCCAAGCTGCTGGCAGAGCAGCAGAACAAAAAGAAAGACAGCGAAACCTCCTTTGTTCCCACGAACATGGCTGTTAACTATGTCCAGCACAACAGATGTAAGTCTCGCGTAGCTCTCCTGACCCAGGTGTGACCCTCTCCTCTGCTGAAGAAAAGCTGTCAGTTGGGACAGAGTCTGATGCAGGAGAAGTTAGTTGGTGTATGAGCACAAGAAGCTGTCTGATTCCTTTTCCTGGGATGCTCAGATAGACCCCATCTGGCTTGGTCTTTGTCTTCCATCCATCAGCAAGGAGAGGGACATCTTACTCACAGCTTAACTTTCTGCTCTTGAACTCCCAGCTGACATCGCCTCATAAATTTCAAGACTGTTTTTTAAGTTGTATCTTGAGCGTGTGGAAATGCCTGCCTCATCTGCCATTATAAATGATGGTTTGTAATTGAGAGAATCCATTTTGTAGGCTGCCCAAGCAGACAGGTGGTCAAGCAAACATAGACCTTACTAGACAGGAGATGGAAAGTAATTTCCGGGAGAGCGTCTCATACGGCAGCCATCTGGAGGAAAGGCAGCCTTCCGCTGTTTCTAACCATGCTTATGGGGGAGTTTTGGAGTCAGATTTGTGTGTGCTGAAGGAAATTAGTCTTTGGGCCACTCCTGATGAAATAGTGCTACTAAAATTTGTTGTCTCCCATCTTGCATTTATTGATTATCCATAGAAACCAATTACATGAATGCTTGTTCTGAGGTTCTGTTGTTTCTGCTGAAGATCAGTTGTAACAAAAGCCACAGAAATATGTCTTTCTGCATAACATCTGCTCCAGATAATATTCCTTATCTGATGCTTTCCTTCTTTCAGTTTATCATGAGGAGCTAAATGCACCAGTGCGAAGGAACAAAGAAGAACCAAAGCCTCGCCCATTGAGAGTGGGGGATACGGAGAGGCCAGAACCCGAACGTATGTTCCTAATCTGAAATGTCCTAAGAAGAGACACTGAAACTCTTCAGGGGCCTTGCACAGGGAAATGATCTAACTCTTCTTACCTTCTCTTCTCCGGGTGCCCTGCGATAGTGGGAAAACGGAGCAATCTAAGTCCATGAGAGGCTGTTGCATTTGATGTGCCTTACTAGGTCACACATGAAGCCCTCTGGATGGGGGATGTCTTTAGAGATGCCCAAGGGTGGAGTAGCGAAGGTCACAGCTGAAACACGTTGCCAAAGCTGGCTGACAAGGCTTTGGTGAAAGCTGGAATAGCAAAGGGTGCAAGGCTGGGGAGCACTGACAGCTAAAGCAGTAACCTTTCCCTGAGCAAAGGGCTCTTAAAGGAAGTGGTGGAGTTAAGGAAATGTCTCCTGTGAATGAACAGGGAAATAATACTTCTTTCTCTTTCTTTTGAAGGGTCTCCTCCAAATCGCAAACGTCCGCTCAATGAAAAAGCAACGGATGATTATCATTATGAGAAATTCAAGAAGATGAATAGGCGATACTGATGAACGTGGACTGAAGTCTTTGCAGTTGTTCTTATTTTCCACTCATAGAGGATTTTGTGTCAATGACCTGAAATGGATGTGCGGAGAGTCACCACCTTCACATGCTGGTGTTACCTACAAAGCTTTTCTTGTGACCTTGTAGTGAATCAGTTGGCAGGTGATTGTGAACTCTTTGGTCAGTAAAATCTTGTGTATAGCTTCTTTTCAGTTATAAACCTTCTTTTCAAAGAACACGAGCTTTCCTGGTTGGCATTGTTGAGGGGGGAAAACAAACTTTCTTTCTTTTACAGATTCTTTCACCCTCTTAAAAAATAGAAAAAAAGCGCACGATACTATAACAGCAGCAGTGCTGTTTGCCTTGTAAAGATAAAGGGAAGGTTGAAAGCTGGTTTGCTTGAATGTGACTTTGTAAGAGACTTGTTGTTTGTTGCCGGGGGCCTTGGCTATGTGAGGCAGAGATGCTGCAGCAGCGTCTTCCATGCCGCTGCGCCTCAGCTGGGCTTGCGAGTGCTCTGGGGGAAGTCGGAGCGTTGGCTGTGCCTGCCGCTGTCGCGCTGCGGCTGTCGTCAGCGCAAGAAACCACAGCAGATACACAGCGCCAGGGATTTTATAGCGTGTGCCGCCTTGTTTTGTATGTCGTCCGTCCGTCCGTCCCCCCCGTAGACTTATCTCTGTAGCCGTTCGCTGCATTTTATTTTAGCTGCAAGGAAGAAGAAAACTGGATCAGGTTGTAACTGTTGGATTGGAGGAAAAAATCTCACTTTCAGCTCTCAGGACGGGGTCGATCGGCATGGCAGCTTGTGAAGAAGCCAGAGGCCCCGCAGCTGGTGTCAGCCATGTCTTCCGAGGAGGTATGACGTGCGGGAACTTAAAAACAAGATTTGGAACTCGGAAATAATAAAAAGTGTTTTTAAATGATTGTAAATGTCATTTTTCCTTCTGGGATGCGCACTGATGTCTTCTGTGTTCTGGCAGGGTGTCCATGTCCCATCACTCTGGAGTCCCAACACTCCAGGGAGGGGTGGGATAGCCTAAAATTTTGCCTTTTTTTTTTTTTTTTTAACGAAAAAAAAAAATCCCTGGGCCCGGTAACTATGCAAGCTTGTCTCTGAGCTTGTACCCCCGTGCAGGTCTGGGGTGCCGTTCCCCCCGAGTACCCGCAGAGGCGGCACTGCTGCGCTACCGGTCGAGCGTGAGCGCGGTACTTCATGAGGTGTACCACAGGGGGCCGCCATTTGACTAATTACAGCCGCGGGCGGCCCCGCGGGTGCCCGTCCAACATGGCGCCGGCCCTCCCCCTCAGCCCCGCCTCTGCCCGCACCCAAGATGGCGGCGGCGGGGGAAGCGGTGTTGCGGGGGCGGAAGCGGCGGCCGGGCCGGCGGCGGGGCCGGGCGGGCCATGAAGCTGCGGCGGGGCGCGCTGCGGGCGGCTCTGGGGTTGGCGTTGCTGCCGCTGCTCCTCAGGCCAGCCAGCGCCGTGGAGCCCATCAGCTTGGGGCTGGCGATCGCGGGCGCCGCTGCTTCGGCCCTTACCGGCTTCATCTCCTACCCGCGGCTCTACGGTTACTTCAAGGAGTGCTGCCTCCAGCGACACGCCCGGCGCGCCGCCGCCGGTGCGGGGCTGAGGGGGGTGCTGGGGGCCGGGGCGAGCTGAGGGGATATTGCGGTGGTGGCGGGAAGGCGTTGGCGGGGGGTGGTGGTGGTGGTGGTTGCCGAGGTGCCGGGAGCCGCGCAGGGCCTGTGGGGCCTCCCCCGTGGGGCCTGCCCGTGGGCCGCGGGGTGCTGCTCCAGCTCGGCCGGCCCTTTGCCCTCCTGGCCTGGGGTCGGCTGCCTGCGCGGCGGGGTGGGTGGTGGACCTTCCTGGAAGGAGGGAGAAAGCGGCGGGCCCCCCCTGCCCGTCTGCCTCCTCGCTGTTGACGGGGTGGTCTCTCCGTCCAGCTCTGCAGGAGAATTTGGACAAGAAGCTGTTCGGGCAGCACCTGGTGAACAAGGCGGTTGTAAAGGCCGTGAAGGGCTTCTTGAACAACAGCAACGCCAAAAAACCTCTTGCCCTTTCTTTGCACGGGTGGACTGGAACAGGCAAAAACTTTGTCAGTAAGATAGTCGCTGAAAGCATTTATAAAAGGGGTCTGCAGAGTAAATATGTCCATCAGTTCGTGGCGACTTTGCACTTCCCTCACGCTCACAGCATCAATCTCTACAAGGTAAGAGTGTGCTGTGGAACCCGTGGCGGTGGGGCGCAGCTCTGCTGCAGTGACTGCAGTATTGATTTATAAATGTTACGGCACAATCTGTACTAGAAATCTAGATTATTTTTTTTTTGCAGTGAAATGTAGCCTGTGTCAGTTTTGGAATCTTCTACAGAACTGGGTAAATCCTGATATCTATCAGGACTTGTTTTTCTTGTGAATGTAAGTTTTTTTGCATGTGTTATGAGCCTCTCTTTAGGGAAGAATGATACAGTTATTTTGTGTTCTGCGCTTTGCTTAGAGGTGCAACGACTTAACGATAAGGGTGATGCAGCAGGATTCCATGGTTAGGTGATACACTGGTGAGAGCTGTGAAAAACTAAGAGTTCATGACTCTGGGGAACCACCTGGTCACCTCCAAGTGTGTCAGGTACCATAGTAAGCTGAAGCTTGCTCCCTGAGGCATGGGTGTACTTTTCAGTTTGACTGAACATTGGGGAGGTTATTTAGTTTTTCCTATGCATCTATTTCCCTGTAAAACAAAATCACAAAATACTCTGTTGTCAGAAAGGTACAAATAAATGTATTTGGAATTGTCCTGCCAGTTTATGTCCGTGCAGTCCTGTAGGCAGGTGGAGATCATGTGGAGCAGTAGCTCAGATGCATGTTTTCTGGCTTTTTTTTTTTTTTTTGTTCTAACTTTGTTAACAGCAGAGTTTGAATGAGTTCCGTTGTCTTTTGTAGTACTGAATGTTTATATTCCGTTTGTATATGTTAAAAATGGGAACGGGAGAGTTTAAAAACCTGATTTCTAAATGAAGGAAATGTCTGTTTCCTCTTTTACAGCTTACTTTCCCTCTTCTTGCAACTGAGCTGTTTTAAAATAGCACGGATCCTTTTCTGCTTTTGTTTCGAGGTGATTACACTTGGGAAACTTGCTGCCCATGGCAGCAGAAGGAACTGTCGCTTCTTACCCACACTGCACCAGTGCCACCGTCCTGTGCTGCCTCTGCAGTTTGGGGACTGAGTAAACACTGAATACAAAAAAAAATGAAGAATCATTGAAAATGGTTAGAATGGTCACTTCCCATTCATCTGCCAGCAGATCAACCCATTTTTTCTGATTGCTTCATTATTGACCTTAAATGTAACCTTTAAGTGAAAGAATCTTTAAATACAATATACCATTAGCCCTTGTGAACAATATTGTGTTTTAAGAAGGGCTTGTAATTGTCTTCATTTAACTTCTGAATGATTAAAACACAGGGCTGAGCATTCAATTCTGTTTCTACTTTTGCAATTTCTCACTGGTGCTGTTCAGGTAGCAAATTTAACATTGTTCATAGTTTTGACGCCTAAGGATGTTTAGACCAAAGTGCTGCCAAAAGTTATTGTCTTGCTCGTCAGGGCTTTGCTTTGTGTTGCTGTTCCTTGGTGGTACCTGTTCCTTGTCCTACTGTGTACTTTCATTTTTGCTATGTTTACAGGAATATCTTTCTCATGAGGAGGTTTCCTGCTTGTCCCACCCTGTCTCTTCGTGTCTTGAATTTTTTTCAGAACAAATGTGAGATTCTGTTAGTTTTATTTACAGCTTTTAACCATGTTTTAGTCAAGAAGCCAAAGGTGTTAGAATGACACAATTGAAATGACTCTTTCAGGACAAAAGTCAATAAGAAGTGCTATTTTCTGTCTTTTAAACAGAAACTGTTTCAATGTCTTTTATTTCTGTGCTACTCAGGACCAGTTGCAGTCATGGATTCGGGGAAATGTGAGCATCTGTCCCAGATCACTTTTCATATTTGATGAAATGGATAAAATGCATGCAGGACTCATTGACTCTATCAAGCCATTCCTGGACTACTATGAGCTTCTGGATGGGGTGTCTTACCGACAAGCCATCTTCATATTCCTCAGGTAAGAAGTGGCTTCTCAGGTTTGCTGTTCTGTACATGCAGTGCCTTTTAAAACTACCTCTAGCTACAATCTTTGTTTTCTCTTTACTTAGCAATGCAGGAGCTGAAAAGATAACAGAGGTGGCACTGGATTTCTGGAGAAATGGGAAGAAAAGGGAAGATATACAGCTCACAGATGTGCAAAATGCACTGTCTGTGTCCGTCTTCAATAACAAAAATAGTGAGTAAAACTGTGATTGCTTTTGAGGTGGTAGAAGTTCTACAAAGGAGATGGGCTGCATGTGGCGCATTTTTACAGCTATGGTTTCTACTTGATGTGGCCCCGTTTTTGGCTAGCAAGGAGCCACAATGCAGTTTTGGGACCTACAGGTGGCTCTTGAAATGAAGTGAAGGTTAAGGAGCTCTGTGTACACTTTGGCTACCAGTATTTTTGCTGTCCGTTGGATTGCATATGTGGGGGGAAGTCTATGTTGTCCACTTACTGACATACTAATAAGCAAAAGAGAAAGCAAACAGAAATCTAGACAGTAAGGCTAGATACTGCATTAGCTGAAAAATCCTTAACCAATAAAATGCTTTATTATGGGGAAATCGCTTGCTCGGCCCCCCCACCCACTTAGCCTTTCTTGCTCAGTCTGTTAAAAGCCTTCAGGCAGTTATTTAGGAGCTATTTATGGGGAACAAGCTGACATGCCAGCCCTGGTGCAAGCAGTCCAGTGTTTCCTAAGTTTCCTCACTCAGGACTTCTGGTGAAAACGGGGTTTAAAATAGTTATGGTCTAAAATTAGCATCGGAAGCAAAGTTACTGCATTTTTTTAAAGGTTAGATTCAATCTCTGAAAAGGAGCAAGACAAGCTGGTCTGGGAGAGCTGATAAGAGAGAAAAATCTGTTCTTCTG